AAAATATCTATGTACTGATTCTATCAGTTTCACCTTGGGTTGCGTAGCCAAGGTCAGGTCAAGGTTACATTGATTTTCTTAAATGGAACACCCTATTTTTGATTCAAGAACATTGAATAAATAAGAGTAATTAAATTACGCAGGAAGTTTTAAATAAGAGGATCTAGAGCTATGGATTTGTACATGATTTGTGAAGGATTTTAAGAGATTTTGCCGGAAACCTCTTTTGAATCTTAAAGTAGCAAATTTTTCGATAACTGCTATTTAGATGTACAAAGTAAGAACTATATTCCCATATAGATTAGAATCTACTATAATCTTTTAAAATTTACATATCTCCTAAAATTAAGATTTAAAGTAGAAGTAAAATTTTGATCCCCGCGGGATTTCGCTTTTCTTCCTTGTAGTTGTATTTTTCAGATCAAGAAATTCGACTGCGCATAGTTTAGCTGTAGAATGTGCTAAACGTGTAGAAGCTGAGACGCACTGCAGCAAATATTATTACATGTATTAAACAATCTCTGCATGTACCTATCTCTTACTCTGTCGTACGCTTTTGCCTTACTTCAGATTTCGTTTTCAATCCTGTTTCTTGCAACCACAAAAATTCTACTCAAGATATTAATTTTGTTAAATGTACATTAAAATCTTTTTTTTTTGCAAAAACTCATATAATTTGCATTTAACGATTAACTTATAATAATGTAACAGATTTATTACGCATTTATTTATTTTCTAATAGAATAAGCATTTCTTTTTTGAACAGAGCATTTGACCTCGTTTAGACATAACATTTTCGTAAAGACCAGAAGCAACTACAAGCATGGCTAACGAAGACGAGAAAGTCGAGATATGCCGTTTGTGTGGAAAAGAGTCTCGAAACTGTTTTCCAATATTTCAAGACGAAGATAATATTCTTGAAAAAATAAATATATGTTTACCGATCGATGTAAGTTCAAGAGATGTGATACTCTTTGGCACGTTTCAACTTTTGAACTTGCATTTTTATTACATAATATATAAATAATATTATATTTTTCGTGTTTCTAGATTTCTCCGGATGATAAATTGCCTTCCAGTTTATGCAGATGTTGCTCATATCGTTTAAGTATTAGTTATGAATTGCGTTGTACTGCAATTGAAGTAGATGAGCGTCTGCGAATGCAATTATATCAAAGGCAGAGCGATGTTTACACAAATAAAGATACAAATAACTTTTCAGAGAACTTTCTAAATATTAAACGAAAAATTATAGACGAGGAGAACGTTCTGCATTATCAAAATGATATACAAGAGATCAGAGATAAAATAAATATTGATAATGATTGGAAAACAAATCGAGAAGATATCGATGAAATTAGTAACGAAATGGAAATTGTTACTTCAATGGAAAATAACGAAACGGCAGCGTCAGTTAATTCAGTGAATGAAATTGATATTGTTGAAATGAAATATGAAGATGTGATAGAAGCCTCGATAGAAAAAACTGATAACATCTCTGACTTTGTTAAAAATAAAACTGCAAACGACTGTCAAAGATTTTCGGAACATCAGACTCTCGAGCAAAATTCTAGCGCTCTAGCGGAACATATACGAGAGATCCACGATTTACAGTCGCCCAATAAACTCAATACGAAAGAGAAATATGTCTGCAAATTCTGCGATAAGAAGTTCAATTCATGGAGGTTGTGGAAAAATCATGAAAGAATTCACACTGAAGAAACGCTCAATTCGAAATGTCACAAATCCTTTCGGTAATTTGCTTTATAACGCATTAGCTGTAATTATACAAATTTGCTTTACACTTTTACGATTTCAATATATTGTCTATTTTTATCTTTTACTTTAATTCTATTAATCTCTTTACTTTAATCTCTTTTAGATCTAATCGATCGATATCGCATCATATCCAACGTGAACATAAAAAGAAGGAGTATGTGTGTGATCAGTGTGGAAAATGTTACAGGTAAAAATGCTTCAGTATAAATTAACAGCAACTTTAACACAATATTGTAATAAAATTGTAATAATACAATATATACCTATATGTATATATATATATATATATATATATTGTAAATTTTTATCTTTTTGTTTATTTCTATTGATTCTCTTTTAGTTCGTACAAATCGAGATGGGATCACGTACAACGTGAACATAAAAAGAAGGAGTATGTGTGCGATCAGTGCGGAAAATGCTTCAAGTAAAAATATTTCAATGAATTAACAGTAACTTTAACATAATATTGTAATAATACAATTGTAATAATACAATATATATTTTTTTTATTTTTAATGTTTTGTTTAATTCTATTGAATCTCTTTTAGTTTGCGCAGTTCGAGATGGCATCATGTACAACGTGAACATAAAAAGAAGGAGTATGTGTGTGATCAGTGCGGAAAATGCTTCAGGTAAAATTATCTTTTGTAAAAATAAATTAGCATTAACATGACAATATAATACTCAATAATATAATTATGACAATATAATACTCAAAAATACAATTAATCAGGCCGTGAGCCCAATGGAAAATATATTAGGAACAGAACTAACTATAAGAATTTCTACTAATCAGAAACAGTGTA